ATCTACACACTTCAGAAAGGTGCCCTAGATTTAGGATTTCAAACCAGTCCCATATGAAGATTACAAAAAGATTTTGTCACCCAACTCTAATTAGGATAGCTGAATCGGCTATTAGAATACTGTCCCCTCTTCCTGCAGCAGATGAACCTTTCATGGAAGATGCTGTCCAAGCTCCTAAACAAGGAAGTGGAACCTCACTGAGTCTCTATAACAGCTCTACTGTCTGTCTTTAAACCTTGCTAATAAACGTGTGAATGTGTAGAATCCCACCTCAGACTTGCTTTCATTCGCTCTTTGTCGTGGTAGCAAGGTTATGGTGGAACTTAGAAAACACATACTTCTCATTAGAGAAATCTTCCAATATCTATGCAGAGTTCCTAAAAACCAATGAGAGAGCCAAGTGGCTGAGGGGAAGGTCAGTTTGCTGTAAGGTATCCACTACCTATGGATGCTATATGTATTTATCTGAAAGGTGCCTGAAGGAGGGTTTGTCCTTAATGCAAGTTTCCCCTTTTACATTTCCAGATTCTAATTGCAATTATGCAATTACACAAATTATTGAGGTAGAACATTAAATAGAAATCACTTGAATAACTTTTACTCTTTTTGGTTTTTAGGTAGAGCTTGTAAAAAGTTAGTTCAAATCAAGTTGGAAAAAATAATTAAGTTGGATGGGTAAGGCTTTTATAGAACCAGGAATATATCCAAATACAGTCTACTTGGGAGTCTAAGTTAGAAACATGAAAAAGATTTTTTAAAAATACCTAAAAGTCAAGCTGAATGCAATAAATTTGACATGTTTTGATTTGAATTAAGAGGAGGATTGGTTGAAAGTAAAATTCAGATTGAGCCTTAAACAGTATGACATGAAAAAATTATTTCTATTAAGAAAACAAACTATTTGTTTCTAACTGTCCCACCAGCCACATTCTAAGGACAGCGGATTCAGGTTGTTGGAGATTCTTTTCTTTCCTGGCCTTACACATATTTAAAATGAGGACTGAGGAATCAGTGAGGGAATACAAGATTGCTGTGCATAAGACAGGCAGAAAGAGCTCAGAGGGCAGCTACAGGGGACTCAGAACTGGAACCAGAGCTATAGAGGGCTCTGTGGGGTAAGGGCTGGGAGGCAGAGAGATGTTGTTAGGGTGCCTGGGACATGCAGCGTGCTCTCAGTAAATTCATTTGTGTGTTTAATATTTACTGAGTATCTAGTATGTTCTAGGCACTGTGTTATGTGCTAGAAATATGGCAGGAAAGAAAGAAACGAAGGAAGGAAGCCCTGTTTTCAGGGAGCTGATGTTCTAGCTGTGGGACAGAGATGCTGAACAAACAACAAATATGTGCATTGGTGTTAAGGAAAATAAGGCAAGGTCAAAAGACAGGAAGAGGCAGGTAAGGTGCTGTTTTAGACAGTGTTTTCACGGGAGCTGTCTCTGATAAATTGCATTCAAGCAGAAATTTCAAAATATAATTATAACTCTCATGCAAATATAAAATGAAGTAAGATTACTAGATTAGATTTTAAAATGAGAAACGCTCTCTACTGCAATAAGAATAAACTTTGGGGTTATATTTTCCACTGGACAGAAAGATTTGCATCTTCGTTGGACAAAAATATACAAGTTAGCCTGTGACTTCAATGCCCCAAGTCTTTAAGAGTCTGAACAGGTGACATTTGTTCAGAGACCTGAGTGATATCAAAAGCAAATAGGTGAGTAGATGAATAGTGAAGAGGGGAAGCATTGAGTGTCAAACTCCCTCCCATCTCTCTCCTACTCCATTCGCTACAAAATATTCCCTTCTCATTGATATTTGGAGGAGTGGGTTCACCTTGGGAAAATGAAAGGAAATAGAGTCCTCTAGGTTGATGAATGATTATAGAGGATACCCTGGAGCTCAGCACATCTGGACATAAGATCAGGGAGGAACGAACAGGGTGGGAAGGCCAGCAAAGACTCAGAGGTGAGGGCACTGGGAAAAGGGTGGGCCAGCAAGTAGCTGTGTTGACTGCAGAAGATTTCATGTACTGGTTGAAGAGACTCATCTCTACTTCTCCTGTAAAAGGAAGAAAAACATAGTTATGAACTCTCGACAGATAGTGTGAAAGGCAAGAGAATCCCTCTTCTGTCTTTCAAATCTACATCCTCAGCATGTTCTCCTGCTGTCTCCTGGTGCTTGGGTGGCTGCTGCTGTTACACCCACAGCCATTTCCTTTAACAGGGAGGAAAAACTTTTTCCTAATCCACTGTCTATCCTCCTCCCAACTTCTGCTGCATCTCACTGGCCAAAACTTGTGACCACCCTAGCGGCAAAGTAGGCTCAGAAAGTGATCTTTTTGATTTCTTAACTCCTTTATGGAAGGTGAACAAGGAAGAAGGGGGCGAGGAGTGGGAAAGGATGTTGGAGCTAGTAAACCTAGAGTATATGGGTTGTATTTCTTTTCTAATTCAGTCTTGAGGTCTCCTTCTGGGAGTGGTTATAAACGTTAGCTCTTCCTTGATGGGGCTTGGATATTTACAGCATGGCTTCCATGGAATACTTCTTTATCCTGGCAGACGGCCTAAATCCTAGGTGTCTGACCCATGACCAGGGGTCCCTCTCACAGGAAGCTTGTTTACATTAGCAGGCACATTTGTGGCTCTTGTCTGCCCCATGTCTGGTTTATTCCAACCAAGATAGCCACTCTCTAGGACAGCCCTAACCAGGAAACAACTCAGGTTTGGGTGCATAGTCAGGTGAGACACAGAGGAGGTGAACAAAACATATGAAATAACAGAAGCAGTTTCATTACTTACAGATCCATAAGAAGAGGACAGCATGCCTCATAGGGCTGACGGGAAGGGGGACACACATGCTCAACCAGTGGGAGCGAAACGAGACAGAGAGAGGGACTTGTGGGCCAAAGCCTTCACTGTGGTCCTGGGTGTTACCCAACCAGGTTTCTCTTGAAGAATTCTAATTGGCTGGCTTCAAGTTCCCTGGCATCCCACTGTGACTAAGAGGTGGTTACTGAGGCATATCTGCAAAGTATATGTGGGGTATAGGGGTCAACTGGATGAAGCAAGTAGCTTGTACCTGATGGTTCGATAGGGAGGTGGTCACCAAAGGTGGTCATACAAGGCAGATCTCTGGACTGACCACATAGAGGAAGTGGGAGGAGGCAGAGAACTAGAAACTGTCCAGGGTGACTAAGCCCTGATTCTAGTATGAGAAGGTTAAACCTGTCCTCAGAATGGATAGCGAGGCCTTTGATATGTTCTCCCACCTCTTCATCAAGCATATTGACAAATCCTACTTCACCAACTTGTCTTGCTGTAACCTCCCAGTAGGTTCACCTTGCCCGCTGCCTAGATAGAGCCAATTTATCAGGACAGGAGAATTGTAACAGAGAAAGAATTCACACAGAGCCGGCTGTGTGGGGACCAGTTTTATTATTACTCAAATCAGTCTCCTCCAGCAGTCAGAGTTTTTAAAGACAATTTGGTGGGTGGGGAGGGGCAGTAAGTCAGGGAGTGCTGATTGGTTGGGTCAGAGATGAGATTATGGGGCTTCACTGTCTTCTTGAGCTGAGTCAGTTCCTGGGTGGGGGTCACAAGATCAGATGGGCCAGTTTATCATCTGGGTAGTGCCAGCTGATCCATCAAGTACAGCAACTGCAAAACACCTCAAGAACGGATCTCAGGAGCAGTTTAGGGAGGGTCAGAATCTTGTGGCCTCCAGCTGCATGACCCCCAAACCATAATATCTAATCTTGTGGCTAATGTTGGTAGTCTAGACCCCAGGCAAGGAGGAGGTTTGTTTTGAGAAAGGGTTTTGTCTTTGTTTCAAACTGTAAATTATAAACTAATTTCCTCCCAAAGTTAGTGCAGCCTACGCCCAGGAATAAACAAGGACAGCATGGAGGTTAAGGACAAGATGGAGTTGGTTAAATTGGATCTCTTTCACTGTCTTAGTCATAATTTTGCAAAGGCAGTTTCATTGCTACCTGAATGATTTTCCTAACTTCTCCATCAATCTCCTGGAAGCCTTTCTCCTTAATCAATTTCTTCAACTCTGCCAGACACGTGGGAGCTTCTTCATCAGCAGATGTGGCCTCTCCAGTTACTTTTATGTTTTTCAGTCCAAACCTATTCCTCAATCTGTGTAGCTGTCCTTTAATTGCAGTAAATGGGTTGGTGTGCCTAATTTCAGGGGATCCCTTTCTGAAGTCTTCCCATAGGCTCAACACTTTCTGGCAAAACACACTGTGGTCAGTTGAAACACGTTTTCTATTCATGTCTCCCACCCACAAATGTAATGCCTTTTCCGTCTTTTGCTGTTGCACTTCAAACTACAAAAGTTACAGCCACAGTGCATGACAGGTGCTTAGTTAACTAGCACGAATCTTTTTCCTTCTTCACAATTTCATGGATAATTTGTTCTTATCATAGATTTTGGCAACCTCAGCATATGATTCTTTTTCTTTCACCTTTTCATTTAAGGAAGCACTTTACGGCTTCTCCTTGGTATATCCAAACTGTCAGCACCACAATTCCTGTGCTTTACGGCCATTATTAAGTAAAATAAGGGTTACCTGAACATAAGCTGGTGCTCTCTCTCATTATCGCGGCTGTACTACAGGTGCATCTGTTAACCAAGGCAGCTACTAAGTGGGTAATGGGTGGATACGGGGCTACCTGGGACAAAGAGATGATTCGCGTCCAGGGTGGGACACAGTGGATGGCCCGAGATTTAATCGGGTTACTTGGAACGCAGGCGGTTTGAAACTTAAGAACTGTTTATTTCTGGAGTTTTCCATTTAACATTTCTGAACCAAGGTTTGACCACAGGTAACTGACACTGCAGAAAGCATGAGGGGTGGGAGGCTACTGCATTAATATTAAAATTTTCAAATATTACTTTTTGGTAATGAAGTGTGATTCAGGACCCTCCCTCTCAAAGATTAAACGAGATCACCAGGACCTCCGCCAGCTTCAGCCGCTCTGCACGACTCCGCCCTCGCAGCCTAGCCAATCAAAGCTACAGGTTGAGTGACGTCACTCCGCTGAAAGTCCTCGCTAATTCCCGTACTCCTTTTCTCCGCCCTGCACCTCTACTATTTGTTACAAGTGGCCAGCAGCCATTTTGGATTTGGGCGGAAATGAAAGTAAAACTGTGCTGTTAAAAGCTTAAAACTTCAAGTCAAGACAAACTTGAGCATTCGACAAAAACGTCTAGAAAGGGGATATCTTGGTGGACTAACTAGACCATTAGGGCAGTGAGTGACAAGCGGGGACGTCACGGCGCCCACACTCAAGATGGCACTGGCCTGAGACTCACCTGTGCGGCCGCTCTACCTCGGTTCCTGGTTCATTGGCCTCAGCGGTGGCGTCGGAGGGAGGAAGGCGGGCCTTCTGTCCCGTTTCCGGACCCGTCTCTATGGTGTGGGAGAAACCCGGCCCCCAGAAGATTGTGGGTGTAGTGGCCACAGCCTTACAGGCAGGCAGGGGTGGTTGGTGTCAACACGGGGGCCAACAGGGGACCAGAGCCAAGACCCTCGGCCTCCTCCCCCGCCGCCCTGCCGCAGGTAACAGGGAGCCCTGCGCTGCGCCCCCAGTCCTTGCAGGACTGCGCTGTGGGGGAAGGGGCCGGGCGGGGAGGAGGCGGCGGGCGCGCGCCCAGCTCGCGGGTCTGCGCTCTGGGTCCCGCGCAGGAGCGAGCTCGGCGCGGCGCCGGCTGCCGGTTGAGCTGTGCTCCTCGCTTCGGAGCAGCCTCCCCTTGCTGATTGTGGGTTGCCCCGTAATCTGCGCTTTGCGGGCGACCCCCGCCGGGTCAGGCGCCCGCGGTCAGAGTTCTCCTAGGCAGCCGCGGAGTCGGTCCTCGCGGGGAGGTGTGGAAGGTGAGGGGCCAGCGAAACGAGAGCGGAGCCCCGGCCCCTCAGTGACCCCGCAGGGTCGCGGCGAGCAGGGCGAGGGTGCTCGGCTGGGCGGGTCACTGTCCCGGGGCGGCAGTGCCCGAACCCGGGGGACTCTTGGGCGCGCCAGCCCTCGGGAAGGCGGCCTGATTCTTGATCCAAGACCAGTGCCCGGTCCCCCAAGGCCCAGCAGGCTCCTGTCTTGGCGTAGTGCTTTCTGTTTAGAATAAAGATGAAACATTTTTCGGAAGGGCATATTCAGGAATCCATGTGAAATTCTCGGAGTCGGATCTCGAATTTTGGGGGTCACTGTTACTGCTGTTTTAAGGACCCGTGTGCTTATAAAATGTAATATCTTGAGCTGAAATCATGATTATTTTGGTCCATGAAGACATAATTGTGTATTGCTTGTCAACTAGCAATGCTGGACTGAGTTCCGCAGAGGGGATGTATACCTGAAACAGACGAAAGCGAAGGGCCGGAGTAATGTTACCGCTGGGTACCAGAATATCAGCCAGTACAGTGCGTCCTTAATACAGTGCAAGCCATTATCTTCGGAACTTTCAAGCTCAGGGAGCTAGGACCAAGATAGTCTCGATTAATTGCTGGGAAAAGAAAATATTTGGTAGAAACATTTCCCTAGAGCACAAGGGTTTCTTAGTTGAGTGTATGAGTGCCCTTTGACCTAGACAAGGGTTTTCTTAATCTACAAGCGGTCCAGAAATTTCATGTGCTGGCCAAGTAGGCAAAAGAGTGGAGGGAGATTATTAAAGGGAAGACTGTGATGCATATTCAAAAAGACTGTCAACTCGGTGTTTTTTTAAGAGTGGAGATGCTAACTGCTACGAAATATCTATTCTGTGATACTAGGATAGCCTTTTCTACCTTCTTGTGACTTTTTAATTTCAAAGCTAATGAGCAAGATTTTGTGTTTTCCCCCTCCTCAAAACAACAGGAAAGCATTTGGAAGGCCAAGTGTTTTTCTTACTTTTCAATAAATCAGTTTTTGCTGAAATATCATTTTTAAAGCACTGGCGGGCATGGTGTAATCTCAGCAACTGGGGAGACTGAGGAGGGCGGGTCGCTTGAGACCAGGAGTTCCAGGTTACCGTGAGGTAGGATAGCGCCAATGCACTCCAGGCCAGCAACAACAGAACGAGACCCTATCTCTTAAAAAAAAAAACACACACAAAAACTGTTCATATAACAGTATTTGTGCCTCTTTAGATGTATTAGTGTGAAGAATTACTGCTTCAAAACATTCTCAAATTGCAATAATCAGCACACCTTTTTAATTTTCCCCCAATAAAGTTTGCACTGGGGACATAGAATATAATCCTACCACTCAGTATTACACTGATGGTATCAGTGGATTTCTGTCAACGTTAACATGCTTTCAAAACAAGAAAATGGCATCCTTTCCAGTTCTCTCAAGAAATTCAGTCGTCTCTTTTAAATTTTTAAGTGATATTTTTTAAAGTCTTAGACCTAAAATACACTAAGAAAAATGAATTTTAACTACTTCCTAACGCTTTTATAACTTTGTTAATTACTTTATAGTGGAATTCATATAAAATCTAAGGTTAATAGCTATTGCAAGGTCAGTATTCCCACAAGGAAGTATTTCGCTATTTAGAAATAGCTAAGTAAACTAAATGTCCCTTTCTTCTGCCTCTGGTGACTGCCATTCATCTAGCCAGAGCGCTTTCCCTGAATCCTGGTGGTAGTCTTATCTCCCGGGAGGACTAATATTAAATAAACAGCATGATTTCCTGTCAAGAAGATATTCATTTACATATAGTCCCTTATTCTCTGCTTTTCTCTTATTGTGTGTTGATTTTGGAAAGCTGTGTTTTGTGGCTGAGAGAGAGAAGGAGGTCAGACTAGCTTCAGATACTTTCAAAGTAACACTTCTGTAACTCACTCTTCTAGTCTGGCTGGCTTTTCAGGCAGGAGTTGGAGACCAAGTAGAGTTTTCTGCCTATGAAATGGCAATTAGTTTCAAAGAACATAGACTCATTCAAGCTACCTGAGGGAAAGGGGGCTGGTTATAAGCGTGTCAATGGGATGTTAGGGTATCTGGGTGGAACTGGGTTTGAGGCTGGGCTTCTGGTAATCTTGAGATGGATAGTAGCAATGTGCCCCCTAAGTATGACTAAGCTACTGTCCCAGTGTTTGCTTTTTTAAATTTTCCTACCAACGGACTTCCTCCGTGCTTGACAAATTTCTGACTTCATGTGGCTTTGGTTTGCCATAGCTCCAACTCTACCTCATAGGATCCTTCTGCCTTCAGCTATGCTTCTAATAGGCAAAAATTGTTCTTAGTTCAAATTCCTGGGGGAGACAATGATCTGGCCAGTTTATCTCTTCACTCAGGCCGTGAGACTGATGACTAATTTGTGAGTTGACCGCCCTTTGGCCCAGGCTAGGTACCTGACAACATTAACTGTGCCCAAGAAAAGATGGCAAGATCAAGTGCTAAGCATGAACCTCTCTACTCATCTGGCCAGCACTCCATCTCCGGAATCGAGGGATTAACATCATTGCTTTTACTCATGGTCCCACATAAACTTTTTATTTGTAGTCGCAGTAGAAAGGTGAATGTTACCATAGTTGCCATACTTGGCATTTTTTTAGTCCTGTTTTTTGCTTCTCTGTCATTTTTAAGAAAGATATATTGCCAGGTAGGTAGGAATTCAGTGAATTTGTTACAAAGCAGATTTAGTTCTTACTCTCAGAAACAGTTTTAGATTTTGAAAAGCTTCAATTTTAGATAGCTTTAGACTTTATACGTGTGTTTCTTATATAACGATGGCTGTGGATCGGTAGGCATTTTAAATTTTGTTCTAGGCATGTGTTTTGAGCAGCATTACATACCCGGTGTAGAAGGTGTTGTATGGAACTTCACCGAAGTGGGGAAAAATTCCAAGTAGAGGGTCAATGTGTAATGATTATTGAGTTTATATTTGTCCAAAGAATACAGATTTTTAAACAAATTTTGAAAGGCCTACATAGAATTATTGGCGTATTTGTAGCAGTTTGCTTTCTACATTGCCAGAGTTAGTAAGAACTCTATTTTCTAATTTTTATATTATGGTAAAGCCACCACTGAAAACTGACTGCCACAGATTTTTCAGACATACGTTGTTTGGCCTATATAGGTTTAGAAAACATTTGATCCAACATTGAAAAATATGAAGATTTCCACAAAACTATTCAGGCTGTTGGTTCCTCATGATAAGTGGCATGATCTGACAGTTCTGAAACTGCAGTCCTGGTTGGAACTCTGTGATAGCCACTCTCTTCAGAATGAAAGCCTCTCACACTAGGTCCCAGGCACGCATAGTAGGTCCCTGTGCCAAGCTGCCAGTATTGCTGGGGTGCTGCGCATTACCTGTTGTCACCCTGTGAGTTTGTATCCCTGTTGTCAAGAAAGATATGTTTATATTGTAGAAGATTTGGAAGGTGCAGGCAAGTGTGTGTGTATACAATTACCTATAGTCTGACCTTCCACCGCAAACCTCTGTTAATACTTCAACATATATTTTTCAAGTCTGTGTGTATGTATGCATATATTTCTTTTTAAAACAACTTTGAGGTGTAATTGATATAGAATAAATGAAAAAAGTGTACAGTTTTATGTTTTAACGTTTATAATCACCCATTGCCATCATTATAATCAAAATAATGAATATATCCATCTTCCCAAAATTTCCTCATACATCATGATAATCCTGTCTTCCCCCTTGGTCCCTCTAACTGTGCCCCTTCACTAGGCAAGCACTGAAATATTTTGTCGTAGTTGCATTTGAATTCTGTGTATGTGTGGGCCTTTTTTTTTTGTTTGTTTGTTTAGTGTTTGAGATTATTTGAGATGATTCAGTTTTGTGGTTTCCCCTTTTTACTTGGGATAGCCTTGAAGAGTAGTGTGATTGTATTTTTTCTTATGTTTATTGTCATCTGTGTTTCTTCAATGAGCTGTTTTCCTTCCCATTATTGTACTGGTGTTTTAGTGTTTTACTTGGTTTATATGAGCTCTTCATTTGTTAATATGTTTTTCATATTAACAGTGTTTTTCAACATATTAACATTAAAACAATGATTTTCATCATTGTTATAAGTATTCTCCAATTTGTATTTTTTTTTAATAATTTTAAGTTATTTTAGACATACAGAAGTTTTATTGTTTTTGAATAATAAAGTTTTACAACATTTTCCTTAGGATATACAAGTGAGTTAGGAAGTATGAATTACTTTATTCTATTTTTGATTGCCTTTCCACTCTGAAAGTTTGTATGTGGTGGTGTTTGGGGAGGGACAGTAACTACATGTGACTACTTAGTAATGTGCATTTTCTCTAGAGTTGTTAGTTGTTAATTAACAACCATTGCTGGTAACTTGCTGAGCATTTACCATTTTTACTGTCAAATGTCCTAATTACGAGGATCGAAGAAACTAGTAGTTTGGGGTGGCTATGTCTGAATATCTCTTGTTGATGTTGCAGATAGGGATTTAATGTTTGAAATTGTTTTCTATTTTCTTTTAGATCTGCTTGGCTTTGAGGAAGAGTGGCAGTACTGCCTCACTGCATAAGGGATGGGATCAGAGAACAGTGCTTTAAAGAGCTATACACTGAAAGAACCACCATTTATCTTACCCTCTGGACTTGCTGTTTATCCCGCTGTACTGCAAGATGGCAAATTTGCTTCAGTTTTTGTGTATAAGAGAGAAAATGAAGACAAGGTTAATAAAGCTGCCAAGGTACCATAATAGGTGACGACTTAATAGTTAGTACTTTTTACTATCTTTTCTTTTAAAAAAAATATGAAATTAGTAAAGGTCAAAAGAGGTAAGATGATAACAGTATTTTATTATTTATGTCCTTTCGAAACATTGCTCTTACTTCGTGGGCCTATCTTGCATTTGCATGACATGGTCAGATACCATACTGTAGCCAAAAAACATCATAAAACTCAGTATGATGGCTTTTTTTTTTCTTTTTTTGAGACAGAATTTCGCGCTGTCTCCCAGGCTGGAGTGCAGTGGCGCCGTCTCGGCTCACTGCAAGCTCCGCCTCCCGGGTTCACGCCACGATGACTTTTATCATATTTTATTTTTCTGGTGAGAAAGTTAGGGAGACATTTTTATATAACTAATATAAGATATAAGGAGCGATATAAGGAGTTAATCTTGTCTAGCAAAATTCTGTTAAGTATTGACAACATTCTGTAGGCTTCAGCTTCCTCCTGAGGGAAAAGATCCTTGTAGTTCATGCCTTATAATTGCTGCTCCAGGCAGAGGGTGCCAGTGCATTAGCATGCTGTCTGTCACACTCAGGTGACCCTGGCCTCTTATTAGAGAAAAATGATTTTACTGTGGAATATAAGTCAATAAAATAACCCCAATTGTCTTTTTGAATCGGGGAAAATGAAGGCATTAGTTGATGCTTCTTTGGATAGCTAGCACTTCAGAAATTTAGTCATTCAGATATATCATCTTCTAAAAAGGAAAATGTAGTTGTATTAGTAAATTAATTCTCCAGTGTTTATTCTGGTAGGCATGCTATTTTCAGGTTGAACTTGATATCTTGATTTTGTTAGAATTAAAATCTCTATTACCTTGAGTCCCTTAGTAATATCAACAGATATAGAACATTGATTTCTATTTCGTAGGACTCTAAATTGTTTCTACTTTTTAACATGATTATAAAGGATTATATTAGTAATGGAATTTTGGTCTTCCATTGGTCACAACAGTTATTTATTTGATGTTGTATTTTTGATCAAGCATGAAATTGTTATAAAATGGTTCCTAAAGAAAAAGATGTGTAACAGTTCTCTTGAGATGCATTTCCTAGTAATGCATTGTGGTAAAAAGTATAGCTGGCTCTTTTATTGCTAGGTAATTTTGCTTTTTGGTAGAACCACATTTTTGACTCTTTTTTACATCATCTAGGTATGAAGAATTTTTTATTGTGATTTTACAAAAGACAAAATGCCTTACTTCGCTTTCTTGTTCTTACAGTTCATGTCTAACATGCCTCTTATTATTTTTATCCAATAAGATTGTGCATATTGTTTTTTATAATAACTTAAACTGACTGTTATCAGCGAGGTACTAGAGATTTATCTTTCTTAGTTTTTTTTTCTTTATAAGATTTTTAAAAAATGGTGTTACCCTTTATGGTGCATGTACCAAGAAAACCGAATAACCTAGATCGAGTTTTTAAAGGAAAAAAACACAAAGTCCACTCTCCATTTTGGAGGACTTCTGTGCTGAAGGAATTGCGAAACCTGAAAGGGAAGATTTATTCCCCCTTAATATCCATAGATACCCTTTTAAGCCATGTCTGAGTCTTTGCACATAGTTCATCTTTGTCTCTTGGTAAGCCATTCTGTGGCTTTGAAAACCTCATATATGAATTTGGGAAATTTGAAATTGCAACAAAGTGATAACTTTAGATTTTCAGAATGTTTCTCATAATCTTAAAAAACTAGGTCATAGTACTTGAGAAATGTATGGCATTCGATGTGTTAGATTTTAGGAATTTGATGTCCTAGGTATCTGAAATACTAAAACAATATATTTAGCTTGCCTCACTTTCTCTAGAGTTTGGGTTGTTGGCCACACCTTTGGTAGTTTTAACGATTATTTCAAGCAGATATATAGTGTTTTCTGTGGCAGATGTTACTGGATAACAATATACACTTTCTCCACTGTTGCAAGTGAAAAACAACAATCATAGTACACCAAGATGAAATGCAGGTATAAGCTCTGGCCATAAAATAATATGAGAAATACTTAGTTCTGTCTGACCATCTCATTTTATCTTGAATTCATCAGCTATAATTAACAGTATAATTTGCTAACTGATGATGATGACTCATATATGTAAGCCTATAAACAATGATAAATTCTAAGCCCGAATTTGATGGCTGTAGTTTGCTGTAATCCAAGTGTTTAATTAGGGCTTTGTGGTAAGTTTATAAAAGCTTATAAAAATGATTCTTGAGCATCTTTATGCCAGGAATCACATTGGACTATCTAGGAGTGGTATATAGATGCTATATCAGTGCTCTGTTTAGTATTGTTGGAGTCATTATGCTCTTCTCCATAATGGATTCGGGCTGTTGTGGAAGGGTTGCTCAACGTATTTAAGAATGCACATTGTGTGGGCATAACAAGAAATGGGAGAGATGATGGCTGTGCTCAAAAGAGCTTGCATTCTAGTTGGGGAAAGCTGTTCTCCTCTTTCTCATACTGATTTTTTTTTTTTTTGAAATGGAGTCTCGCTCTGTCTCCCAGGCTAAAATGCAGTGGTTCAATCTTGGTTCACTGCAACCTCTGCCTCCTGGATTCAAGCGATTCTCCTGCCTCAGCATCCCAAGTAGCTGGGATTACAGGCACGTGCCACCACACTCAGCTAATTTTTGTATTTTTAGTAGAGATGGGGTTTCACCATATTGGCCAGGATGGTCTCCATCTCTTGACCTCGTGATCTGCTTGCCTCAGCCTCCCAAAGTACTGGGATTACAGGCGTGAGCCACCGCACCTGGCCCATGGTTGACTTTTTAAGAAATTATTTTTTGCCCTTCATAATCAGAATGCAGTGCTCTTATGTGGCTCCTGGGCACTATCCACTCAGAAGAACTTCTGAAGTATCCTCCATGCCTCAGATATGATGGACCCACCAGATGGAATGGCCAGCTGCTTGCCCCCACCACACCTTTCAGACTTCACTCTCTCCTTTTTCCTTTAATATTGATAACCATCCAACCTGCTATTCTAAACTAATTATCTGCCAAAATCTCTAGTCTGAGCTCCAGATCTATATTTTCACTTAACTATTGAACATTTCCACCTAAAAGTTTTATCAGTACCTCAAATGCAAGCTCTACACAATGGAATTCTTTATTCCTTTCCCTTTTTGCGTTTTATTGTTAGTTTATGATCTAACCTTCAGATAGTGGACATTTACCAAAAAAAAAAAAGTATCTGCATTTTGTCTTAGATTTACATCTTCGGAGAAAAAGGAATAATATTTTTCCCTGAAGGTCCTTGTTCTCTAGTTTAGGCATCTTGGTCATTTTATTATGTTTACTTAACATATTTAACAGCATAAATTATGGCTTTGTCCCATCTAAAAGCCTGCAGGTGGATTTGGGCTGTAATGCTGAGTCAGTTAACTTTGCATAGTTCTCAAAGTGAAATAGCAAATCAGAGGCAGATCAGCAATAACAAGTTAAGCCTCTGAGGCTTGAATGAATTCTCTGGATAACTGAATCATAGCTGATTCCTGACAAATGGGAATCATTTATATTTAGGGATAGAATCTCATACTTAAGATCCCTGTTTGGGTGTAGATAAATATCAACATTGATAAATTATATACTACTATTCATATTTAACAGTAAAGGTCCTTACTCAGAATCCTCTTTCAGAGACCATGACCTAGGACAGTGAATGGGATGTAACAGGTATTCAATAACTTTGGGGAAAGTGCTTTCAAGACACTGTCATTCAAAAATAGTCATCTTTCTCTACTAGGGCAAGAGCCATTTATTTGCCCAACTGATGTTGATTGAAAAATATCCTAGTTACCCTTAGCAAGTATGTCTTGTTGCTATTCTTTAGAGCAGCAGGGGCTTGAATCAAAAAATGTTCTATTTGATTCTGAACTGCTAGCCTTTCCTGTGAATCTGTATGCATAATTTATGCTTAATATTGAATGTACCAAAGGAGAGTGACAAATAAGGTTCTTGCTAAGTGCCTTGTTCAGAAACATGCAATGAGTTATTTCTTCCTCTCCTTCTTTATTAAACAAACAAGAACTCGCTTTGGATCAAGAAATTTTCTAGGCATTGTAGAGTAAAACAATAAGCAGAAGAGAACATGAAAGATTTGGTTTGAAAATTATTTGAAATTTATTTGAAAATTACTTGGAATGATTCTTAAAATGAAAATATGAGGGAGGCTACATAATTTTATACAGAAGCCGTAGCTCAAAACACATTTGTAGGCCAGGCATGGTGGTTCACGCCTGTAAGCCCAGCACTTTGGGAGGCCGAGGTAGGTGGATCACCTGAGGTCAGGAGTTTGAGACCAGCCTTGCCAACATGGTGAGACCCCATCTCTACTAAAAACACGAAAATTAGCCGGGCATGGTGGTGGGTGCCTGTAATCCCAGCTATTTGAGAGGCTGAGGCAGAAGAATCATTTGAACCCGGGACACGAAGGGTGCAGTGAGCTGAGATCACGCCATTGCACTCCAGCCTGGGTAACAAGAGTTATACTCCGTCTCAAAAACAAAACAAAAAAATACTTGTAAAAAATTATTCCCAGTTAACTGATTTAACCAACCTGCTAACACAATTTTTGGTTTATCAGGATCTTTGCTGTATTTGTTAGTTTGTAATTGCTACTTAGAGAAATTTTTTCTTCAATATTTTCTTAATTCGTTTTTATTAAATTAAGGGAAGGTAACAACTTTCTTGCTAAGAATAAATAAATAAACCTTTTTGGAGCTATTCCCAGAGTTGGCAAAATTTGAGATTATTATAAGAAAATAAAAGACATTGGAGGCTGGGCACAGTGGCTCACACCTGTAATCCCAGCATTGTGGAAAGCCAAGGCGGGCAGATCACAAGCTCAGGAGTTCAAGACCAGCTTGGCCAACATAGTGAAATCCCATCTCTACTAAAAATACAAAACAATTAGCTGGGCGTGGTGGCGGGTGCCTGTAGTCCGAGCTGCTTGGGAGGCTGAGGCAGGAGAATCAGTTGAACCC